CAAAGGTCATTTTTTTGTAACATGTTCCATCAATGGGTAATTCAGAATATCCTAAAGCTTATCAATTCATTAAGTTCCAATTGAAAACAAAAGAAAAGCAATATACATATATATATATATATATATATATTGAAGAAGTAGGAATCATCATTCGCTGGTCAACATGAAATTTTCGCCAGAATTTTGTGAAAATCATTTGATAGGTAAAAACTACTGATACCCCTCATAAAAAGCATTAAAAACCACAGCTATCCTTGATGAAGTAAAATTCTAAAATCACACTACATTAACCACATACTACTAACAGGAAAAGAACTGGCTAATTGGCACCTTGTCTTGAAGTCCTCTAGAAATCCTGTGGGTTGCTCGACCAGTCGTCTTATCAGCCTGTCTGCTTTCTTCCACCGTCACCTAATAATAGGTCAACCGAACAAAATAATTAACTTAAAGAAACTAAAAATCACTACAAAGTGCCAAATTTTGGACACTCCACATTTCACTTACCCCATCGTTACCTGTCCTACGAGAAGTCGTTGCAGTGTAGTAGGCTCCATTTGTTCCCCCATAAGTCACCCTCTGATAGCTCGAATTTCCAGACTGTTGTTTGTTTGCCGCCACTTTGTCATTATTCGTGCTACATAAGATTTCTTTCCCATTGCTAGAACTCTTTCCATTGTCTTCCAACAGATTGAGAATATCGTAAGTGGAAAATCTCCATTTATACAAGTAATATGGTCGATTAACCAGAAAAAAAAAAAAGTAATGAAATATACCCATAGACGAGAGCTAAGGGTGTGATTGAATGTAAACTCAACAAAAAAAAAAAAAACCAAAATTCAAATTTAATTCAACTTTAACCAAACCCCACTATCCTCAATATCAATGTAATTAAATAATATCAACCAATCATTCTTACAAATCACATCAACTTTAATTCACTATTCATCCACTTAATTTTAACAAACCATCACTTCCAATAATTTTTCTCCTACTTTTATATCAAATTAACTTTAATTATTTTATTATAAATATTATTTTACTTTAAACTTAATTCTCACTAACAATTAATCATACCACTTTTTTCAAAATTAACTATAGTTTACTAAAAAACCAATCAAATCCATATCCAGTCACACTCTAAATTACTTATAAAAAAGGGGAAGTAAGACTATCTTTTGAAACTTGCGAATACCCCTACTAATATTTGTTTCTACGTTATAGAAAGTACAAAATTTTCAGGTGCAATTTTAGTCATTTAGGATTGTGAAACTCGAAAGGAAAAGGCTTGTTTACCATTGTCTTGATCCTCTGGATGCTCAACTAGAGGATTTTTATTGCGCCAATCAGCAGCATCACTAACATCACCTTCCTTATTTACCACCCGCACGTCATCATCATCATCATCATCACTATCGAGCTCTTGAATAACTGGTCCTTTTGGTTGTGCGTGCTGAAAATTAGCGGGACCACCGGAGCTAGAAGTGTTGGAACCGAACATGCTAAAAGGACTAGTGAAAAAAGGGCCGTGAAAAGGATCATTGCCCCCGAATACGCTAGTAAACGTGCTCCCACCAAATCCGAAATCTCCACCTGAATAATTAGGATTCTTCCTAGCTTCTCTATGCCCTGCCATTGTGCTTCAAAACTCCCTAAAAGGCATCAGAAAAAATAATAAAGTGATTTAAGAATTTTCATGGCTAAAACTTGGCTTACAATATATATAGGAACACCGAACACCAGAATATCATTTTCCTAAAGCCTTAAATATGAGACTCGATGTTACTTTCATCAATGGCTTCTGTTCCTCCCACAGAAAACGAAAATTAAAAAGAATTTTGAAATAAATGAATAATTCCCACAGTAAAATAAATGCACAGACGCAAATTAACATCGTCGGAGCGGCTACAATCCGATAAAGCTCGACGTGTTTTCGTAACCTAGCAACAATTTTCCGGCTAAGAGATAAAGAAGCTCATCATGTGGATCTACCAAACGCATATCAACACCAAACAAAAAATTGTATGCCAACGATCGAAATATCCAAAACAAACATAAGAAATGATGAAATTATTATTACCTTGTTTGCGCTTTAAAAAATTCAGAGATGGCTAGTGAAGGGTAAAGGAGTGTGACGAACCTTTTCGATTCACGAGTTTTTTGGGTTGATGTATTTATTTATTGATTAGGGAGAGAATGTCTGAAGCTGACACGTGTTCGCATTTTTCTGCAGAAATTCTATGGCACTGCATGTGGCACCATATTATGGTGCTACATGTGGTGCGCTTTTTCTGTATTTTACTTTTGTACGTACTTTTTTTTTTCAAATGAAATTAATGTAAAAACTGAGCCTAGATTGTTCCAGACTTCCAGTGCTTTCTCAAGAAAATAGGACAATTTATTTATTTATTAATTTTCTTTTGACTTCTCCTTCGTAACAGACTGTTCGAGTGTTCGGTTTTGTTTTTAAATGGAGATTCTACGTTCTTGACCCATTCGGTCGAAATTTTAACCGGCAGATCAATTAATCACGACTATTACATAATTATATAACGGTTATATATTTTTAAAAATTCTATAATGTCATATGTGACACGTGTTATGGTGCCACAACATGATGTGTGATAGTCGTGCACCAATCATAATATACCACATCATATTGTGGCACCATAATATAATGCTACATGTGACAACATAGAATTTCTGATTACTTTTTATTAAAGTTTAGAAAATATGGCACGCAAATCGGCATGGAAGGATAAAATGGTTACATGGGTTAGAAGTTTTTTTCTTAGTATTTTTTTCTTTAATTTTTAATTTAAAGTTGACCGAGGCAAATATGAAAAATAGTATAAAGAGAAAACTAAATTTG